AGAATTGTACAGACACATTAACTTGCCTGTAAACCATACACTACGTTGTACGTTGTACAAACTCCGTTCCTGGTATAGTAATTTAAATCCGGATTTATTTTATATCCGGATTTATCCGGATATAAAACATAGTGAAGTATTAACTCTACTCAAACCTCTGAAAAATTTAGTCATGTATAACGCAGATCAAAATTTTCATGGTTACAAATGGAAAATGCCGAAGCTACATTTTTGATATTTTTATTATAGATGATCAAAATTGTAATTTCAGTCATCAAAGCGCGTAGAAATATGAGTCCTCCGCTTCGCTCCAGACAATTAGCCACGCAACCAAAATTCAGCAAATCGACCAAAACCGAAATAGGCCAACTTCTCCAAAATCACTCAACTTTACCAATAAACCCACGTATTAAGTAAAGTTGCCAAAATGATATTTTTACTATAGTAAAATTGTCTAGTATTATTGCTTATTGCTGGCCTTGGCCGGACCTATTCCGACTCTAAATTTTGGTCGTCGATTTACTGAATTTTGTTACGAGCTAATCTATCACTATTGTCGTCCACTATCGCATCACAACTCCGGCACATGCTCTAGATAAACTCAGATTATTCTAGATGACCAGCTCGACCGGAGCACTAGATTATTCAGATTCATATAAGGCCATACAAAATTAATAGTTTCAAAAAATTTTAAGCAAGATTTATAAAATTTTCATGTGAAATTTTTTCTTAAAAAGAAGCCGACCAGTCGGTCGTGTATATTTAAATGTTTCATGTTATGAAAACCAAGATATTAAATTTTATATGGTCTAATAAAAATCGAATTTTCATTGGATTGTTCAATAAAGTTTTCAACAGAATCAATTAGTAATTTAGGGAGAATTCATTACACAATATTTATTTAGCAAAAGGAGCCAACTAGAAAACTAATTACGTAAATCAAAAAAGAACATTAATTTGGTAAATTATTACGGCACTTTTTCATTTTTGTCGAACAAATTCATAATAAATTGATGATTTTCAAACGTTCTTTTCTACAACAATTATCATGCATAATTTTACAAGTCATATCGAATATTCGGCACTCTTCAAAAATAGAGAATCGCCAAGGTGGGATTAATGCATGATCATTTTGTATTATCTTTCTTGATATATTCATATGTAAATGTCATTTAAATTATCAAAAATAAGAATTATCATTCCGTTTCAGTGGGCCCAAATTTTCAACGCAGATTTGCATATCAATGATCCTATTGGGCACCAAGGAATTCAGATTATCCAATCATTACAATAAAAAAAATCGCCGTTTGCTAAATAAAGAAAGTGAATAAAAATGTTTAAGTCAATATTCAAAGAACTATTTTAAATGTAAGTTGTAAAAAATTACATCTACAACTTTACTATTCTAATACGAAAAGTATTTTTACGTATCATTCCTTATTTGAGTGTACAATTAATTTCGATGATCTTAAATAACATTCAATAAGGAAAGAATGCCGAAACTTGAAACAAAAATCGATATGATTAATTATTTTATTACTTAATAAGGATATGCACTTTACCATATATTGATATATACAAGATTTCATACAGCGATGAGTAATTTTGGATTATAAATGATTTTAAAAAAAGTATGTACGTACGTACGTATCATATTTACTCAAATAACTCCTGTGGCGTCATTTAGAGATATGCAATTTAGATCAAATAGTTAATTATTTAGTAGATTTTTTTTAAAAATAAAAGTTTAATTCACATTAGGCTAAAATACTTATTAAATCTTTAACGTTTCGGCTAAATAACGCTTCGGAGTATTATTTTGTGTAAAATATGATCGCTTAAACTATAAAACTATTGTTTCCAATGATTATATAAAGGATGATTCCTGTCTCATGTTCCTTGCTTGTGCTTAATTTTTTTTTCAAATTTTTATTCTCATAATTTTTTTTCAAATTTTTTCTCTCAAATTTATCGAAAATGAAATTTTTTGCCATTTCCCACAACTATTCTTACCTTTTCATTGTTTTCGTTATCATTACTATCTTAGCTACTAATGCATCAGCAGCTGCCATTGATAAAAGATTAGCGGACTGTAAAACAAGGCAAGCAAATGCTAAAGATGCCGAAAAACTAAATGAAGAATTCGCAAAACTTACGCCAGATTCCAAATGTACAAAAGAAGATGAAGAAAAAGGTGGTGCTGTTTGTGTGGAAGGTCAGACCGCTAAGTGTGTTGATCGTAAATACGTACTCGCGCCCTGTAGTGCAACCCTAACGTGCGGTGCAGTTCCACTTGAAAACTCAAGAGGTACCAGCGTCATTTGCGATACTGAAGAGGACATAAAAGAACGCATTGCCAGAAATAAAGACTGTTAATAAACTTCCGGTATGTAAGATTTTTTTTTACATTCATGAATAGTTAAAAATATAAATGATTTATATTGTACTAAAATTTTAAACCTTACTAATTTTACCTATCTTTTATCATTATAAAATAATTTTGGTCTATATCTTTGACAATAAATATAATTCAGATTAAGATTTAATTTTGATGTCTTTATATTTGCATCAAAAATTTTAAAATAATGGTTTTCATAGGTAGAATTTTTTTAAAATAGGATTCCCAAAAACAATAATAAATCTTTTCATATATTGTGCTTGTCAAAAAAATCAATTTAGGTTATTAGTTCATATTTGCTTTTTTCTGCATTGTGTACAAAACTAGTCCCGGCAAATAAATTAGATAAATTTTAAATTATAAATCCTTATTTAAAAACCTTATTTAAAAAATTTTATCATAAATTATTGAAATTAGACTAAATAAAAAATTCATGTGCTGAAATATTTTTATAAAACTACTTTTGATAAATAATATTTAACCTAATTTCATGTAAGCGATTTGTCCACTCTTAAATACCATAGGGGTTTCAAAGTTAAATTAAATGAAAGTTTGAAAAATCTTATAAAAATTCGAAAAGCATAGGTACGAGTGGTCATGTGATTGGACTAATGCCGGCAAGCCAAAGTTGCCGGAAATAAATTCAAT